TGCTGCTCCAGAGAAGCAGACACAGAGCAATGGATCCAAACTACAAGAAAGAAGATTCCACCTAAACATTAGGAAGAACTTCCTGACAGTAAGAGCTGTTCGACAGTGGAATTTGCTGCCAAGGAGTGTGGTGGAGTCTCCTTCTTTGGAGGTCTTTAAGCAGAGGCTCGACAACCATATGTCAGGAGTGCTCTGATGGTGTTTCCTGCTTGGCAGGGGGTTGGACTCGATGGCCCTTGTGGTCTATTCCAACTCTATGATTCTATGATTCTTTGGGGGAAGCACTGACTGTTTAAAGTGGTGTGATACTGCTTTAAATGTGTAGTACAGATGGGGATGTCCTTTGATTTTAATAGATCCACTCAGAGAATGACTTAGCTTGATATAACCCCAAAGTTCTGTTTGTAGAGTTTGACCTTCAGAGCTACTTACTAAAGAATAAATTCCATGTTATTTGCCAAGGGAAATGTAAGTTTGCAACCAACATGAATGCAAACTTGCATATTTTTATTGTTTGCGTAATTTGTTCTTTGGCTAGACATGGGAGGAAAGTAGCTCCACATGCCACTCCAACCTACCTGCTCAGTTGCCCTAGTGACTTCTGAGTTTCTCCAGGTACAGCCCAGTTTTAAGTCACCGAGTTTCTCCAGTTGGTGGATACTGTGCTGTGTAACAAATCCTGTGCTTCTACATATCCATGGAATATACACAGCTTCAACGAACCCTAGAGTGTTCACGCTCCTTGATGCAGTAACAGAGCAGAATCCAAATACCTTAGATGCAGGCAACCTGGATATTCCCACAGAGATGCAGGTGCTTGTGGGCTATTATACTCAGTCTCTGTGTCTCCTGCTCCTGTTTCATTTGACTGGTTCTCTTTGTCAGCAGCTGCAACCAGTTCCATTCACCCTGCCAGCTTCAGCGTAAGCCAATTGCAAGGTCAATTTTCACTTTGCTGCAGAGGAGTTGCAAGGCAGTAAAACCTGATCATGTGGCGTTTTCCATGTTACTAGCACATGTCATCTTGTTTGGCCCCGAATGTTCCAAGTATATACATGCATTCGATGCATATCATTCCCACAGAAAAAGACCCACTCTGGTCTCTCTTCAGATCGTATAAATCTTTCGCCTTTTACTGAAAAAGACCCACATTAGTACAGTGGAAAGATGACCAGACCTAAGGAATCCAGACTTCTCATCCCATCTTAAGTTATGGCCTCACTGTGTATGCCCTCAAGACAAATTTATATGCATGCATCTATTTTTTAATCTCTCACATCTGTATCACACTCTTCCTCCAAATCCTTCAGGACACCCACCTCACTATTCACATGCCTGAGAGTTATGCACATTTCTGCTCTGCTTGTGAAAAGTTCTGTAGTCTAAAAGCTGACACCAACATTGCCTCAAGAAAACACATCAGCTGCACTACTCCTTGTTCATGCTAAAGAGTGTAAATGAGTTAAACGTTAATCAAGGGGGTTAAGTGATTTTAACTACAGTATAGGAAGGTAATAACAAAATACATACTTTTTTTAAAAAAGTACTGTAATAAATTGTTGGGAGGGATTGTGCGTTTATCTGATACGGATAATTTACTGTGGAATCTGTTTGTAATTGGTTACTATATATACAAAATTATGTTGTTATGGTGATTTTTGGAACAAGTTTGCTAGAAAAGGCATTTGAGACAACCATTCCTTAGGCTCACCTTCAAGCACACACATTCTGGCAGAAATGTGCCATCCTTTAAGGCTTTTCCCTTGCTGTCATGCCAGAAGCCTTTATAAATGTGAACTGAGATGCCACTATTTCCTGCTCAAAGCAAGGCTGTTTGTAACAACTGTCTCAAGAGTTCTCACCGGCTTAATGAGCTGGTAGCTGCTTGTTCTGGAAAGGCAGGCAATCATATGTGTCTTTATCTGTTCATTAATCTTAGCCATTCTCAAGCTGCTCTTCTCTGGCAATTCTTTACCTTTGTGCCGCATCGCCTCTTCCTCAAATGCCACCGAGTTGCGATAAATAAAAGTCGAGAGTTCCAGGGCTCTTTCGTAGCATTATTAAATCTAATAATGAACCCAAAATGTTGGCAACCTATCCAGAGAGGAGATTTCCTTATAATTGGATGTTGTTTTTTTGCCTCTGCCCGGTGTCATTTCAGGAGCTAATGCCTTCAGAAAGCTGATCTATAGAGGTGTATCTCAATCTGACAATCTATTTGTCATCGAGAGCTTACTCTAGGAAAGCAAGGCACACTAATTTAAGTGCAACTTCCAGCAGGTCCCCTATTGCGCTGCAAAGAGATGTCGTGGTAAACTGAGTGTTTGGCTTCAGAATTCATGAAGAAATCAATTTTGTAAACATGGAAACTCAATGTGCAGCTGTCACACTGTAGAGTACAGGGTACTCCAGGATAAATGTACTCTGGGATAAAGAGTACTCCAGGATAAATGACTCGAGAACTTCAGTTCTAACATGTCTATTAACCACTGTTTCATTGCTTGAATCCATAAATGAATAAATCCATTTCCTTACTGGGCTCCATAATGTCTGTTAAGAGCTCATTAAATGTTTCCAAAGAAATACTTGGTTGCAACAGTGGTTTCTCGAAGTACTAGGAGAATGCACTCTCTTTGGGGAGTATTGTTGTACCAATTGGGGGCAGAGTTTGGCAGGCCTTGCCAGTATTTGTTAACACATGTGATTTCTCAAAGTGTGGGTGCTGCCCCCCAGGAATGCTGAGATGAAGTCACAAGCTCTTGACCCATTAAGGTCTTAGGAATAACACTTACAATTACATTAAAAGCTTTATCCTCCATTCAGTGAGAGAGGCACCACTTCAAATTGTCCAGGAAATAAACATCCCAAATGCTAATATTCAGAGATGTGTAAACAATCACTCAGTGGATCATTCATTGCCCTCAGGTGAGATGCTAGGGACCATTTGAAAATTAGCAGGGGTGTCTCTTTTCTGGGGAAGGGCCAGAGATCCATGGTAGAACATCTGTACTGCATGCAGAATGACCCAGATTCAGTTGAGAGCAGGGTTGAGAGACTTCTGCCTGAAACCCTGGAGAACCTCTGCCAATCAATACAGGCAATACTGACTATATGGACCAATGAGCTGACTCAGTGTAAGGCAGTGTCCTATGTCCCCTCCCTTTTAACACTACAGGTATTGTATGTTACAAATGACTTAATAGAGTCAAATTCAAATAGGTGAAATAGTTTATCTATTTTTTTTGGTCAAGAAACTTCTGGACTTATTTACAAAGCTTCTGTCTAAAACCAAAATGCAAGTTTCCCTTCCTAAATTCTTTTCCAGGTATCTGTAGATCCAACCATAACTGGCTGTTGGCTGATATATAGTCTAAACACTTTGACCCTCCAAGCATGTTTACTAGAGGTATGTTCCACCAAGTTCAGTTCAACTTTCTTCCTGATATGTGTCCTTCGGATTGAAGCCCTAGCAATCCCTATTTGGGGGGGAGTAAAGTGGAATGTTGATACATGAATTCACCTCCACAATTTCACCAAGTTAAAAATTATTTAGGGTGCGTGAGGTAAACACAGAGAGGGGAAAAATAGGACAGTTTTTTAATAATTATATGTTTGTCTTTGATTTAACATGCAAAACAAACTGAATACAATTATACAATAGTCCCGAAAAGTTACAAGTTTTACGGTAAGGTTACCAGATGTCCCCGTTTCCCGGGGACAGTCCCTGGATTTACAAATCAGTCCCCTGACAAAATCCATCCATTCTGACTGAAGTTGAAAAGTGTTCCCGGATTCATTAAAAAACAACAACTGGTAACCTTATTTACAGGCTATTTCAGCTCCCAGGTCCTTGTCTGGTACTGGTAATTGCAGTGCCGCCCCAACTAGCAATAACCAATACTGTTGTCTCAACTGGGGACAGTAAACAGATTGTCCAATTTTTAAAAAATAAAAAGGCTCCTACAATGTAACATTTCACAGTTGTGCATGTTTATTCATCCAAACAAGCTACAAAATAATGCTGAGGCATCTGTTTGAGAGACACTGGAACCTAACGTTTTGGCTGTCTCTTCACAAATTTGGGATTCAGTAAACATTAGCAGAGAATGGTACTGGTTAAGGGCATTGACATGCCATATAAAGTTCCTTTCCCCCTTCTTGGAAACATTTTAAATCTATATGTTATTATATACAACATGGCACACTGAGGTTAAGTTAAACGGTCACATAAAAGGATATGCATTCACAATATTCTTTTTTTCTGATTTAAGTACAGTTTACACAACTTAACAGACCAGTGGTATGTGGTAAAGGCAGTGCTTTTTTCTGGGGGGATGCAGACCCCTAAACATTTTGTGAACCTTTGTACTTTTGTCTATTTGCTGCATTTATTTTTCCTGATTTGAACTATAAAATGGTGATTTTCTTGAGTCAAAATGAGGGTACTCCTAAACATTTTTTAAGGAAAAAAGCACTGGGTAAAGGAACAAGCAAACACCCCTCCACTCCCATTCCAAAGAAAGCTGGTGCCAGGGGTGGGAATTGCTAGGCATTTGTCATGGCCCACACCCCTTGGAGAACTATTATGCTCTGAAACTGCTTGGTTCTGCTCTCTTCCTCCTTATGCTAGTCCTGCCTGTTCACCTGCCCTCTCTGGCATGCAAGCAATGACAAAAGGGAGGAGATGGAGAAGCAACATCCATTTCCCTTGGGCTGACTGTCAGGCTGGTGTGCCGAAAAGTGAGTGGGCAGCGGTGCATTGGAGAGGAAAAGGAAGGACCATAGAGAAAGGGGTGCCAACTCAAGAGACAACACTGCCTCCACCATACAGAGAGCATCACTAGTGCACTGTGCAAACACTTGATCTCATAATTCTTCCTCCACAGACGGGAGAAATCATGCATGCTGGGTGCCAAAGTGCAATGATGGTGCCAGTTCTCTAAGTTGCATGAACCAGACCCAGGTTTGTTTATTGTTCCGTTGAGAGAGGAAAGTACACAAATAATCATAGCCAGTTTATTCATTTGCCAATTTCATTCTCACAATTACAAGCAGAATTCACTACAAAAAAATGCCAGGAAGCAATTCCAACACTACCTCTCTCTTCTTCTTTTTTGCTATTTCAGTCAAGTACCATATTATCATTTCTTTAGTCATAAAAAACCTAAATTATCCTGCCAAAAGAAGTAAAACTTTACATGTAAAGTGACCAATTTTTCAGTTTGGATTGATCTGCATTATGTTTCCTGTTTTTGGAATGTTTTCATGTTGTATCTTTCAACTTGGATGCATTATAATAGCTGACTTTCAAAATCTTTATGACAAACAACAGCGAAAGAAACACCTATGATTTGGTCCACAGACTGAGCAGAGTAGCTTTATGGTCAGGATGTTAAAATGAATTTCAAGGCTTCAATAAACATACCAAACAATTCTCTATTAAGCTTCCATATCCTAATCAGCACTAGGGCTTCTCTGATGCCCCATTAAAATGAACGAACCATGTGAACAGCATCATAAATTTCCCAACCATCAAATCTGCACAAATTCATCACAAGTAAAAAAAAAAAAATGCAGACCTTATCATATACTCAGATGCATTTTTTGTATTATCTATTTTTCCTTGGAACTGAGGTTAGGGGGAAAAACCCTTATACATTATATTTAGAATTGTATCATACAAGAAAGTATTAAGGAGCCAGGATGTTTCAAATTTACTGGGAATTTGTATGGAAAAGGTTTGTTAACCGTTATTTGAACTTATGAAAAATGACTGCCTAATTGCCAAAGAGATTTTTTAAAAAACAACCAGCAACCATGTATCTTCCATGTTGATATTGCAGGAGCAGCAATGGTATAATTAAAACAGAATTTCAACTTTATATTAATGAAGCAATGCGCTAATTAAAATCAACATCGACTGAACTTTCTATTTACATTCGTTAAGATAGCCCAAGAGGCAAGGAACTCTGCTTCAGAGGCATATGTGAATGCTTGAGCTTCTGTCATCCAGGTGCCATTTCTGACAGAACACATGTGCCTTGAACAGTTGGCAATGAATGAAAAAGATGACTGCTGATATATATGCACAAAGGAGCCAGGGTGACACTGAAAATAAACTTGCACCAAAAAATATTTTTTTAAAAAAGGAATAGAAGGGTTCTTCTAAACAGAGAGGTTTGCCGTGTGATTCTATGTATAGATGTGCTACAATTACAAATTATTAAAGCATGCTTATTTGGGAAGTGTTTCTTCTGGCAACTCTTGATAATTTGGAAGCTTTGGATCGTAGAGTTTGATCAGAGTTGACTCCAAGTAGCTTTTACTGAGCTGAGGCTCTCCATATTCTATATAAACATCCATTGAAAGCCACAGCAGAAAATGCTTTGATGGTAAACGTAGGTCCCATTGGGAGAGGGAAGAGCAGTGTAGTGACCCGTGTTTCCATTAGCTCCAATCTTAAAATATTTGATTACACTTCTCTCGTCTGGTTCTTGGTTCTCTCACTGAAGGCTATACTTCAGCACAGTTTAATTTGCTGTTAGGAAATAAATCCAAGTATATCAACTTGTAGGCCAATACCATAAATTACCTTTAATTATTTTCTCGGTTAAAATCTGCTTTCATTGCAAATGGAAACGCGAGGTGGTTAACTCAAGGTGATCTTTGCAAATTAGTTTTTAAAAATCCCCATGAATTAAGACTGCTTGTTTGATATTGACACTTGCAGAGGTTGCAACCAACCTAGGCTGCAATCCTATACACACCTATCTGGGAACAAGTCCAATTGAACTCAATAGGCCTTACCTATTCGTGAATTGTCCATAAATTGTGCTTTCCTGGTTAGCATCCTCTGGACTCTTTTGAGCATTGGACTGTTTTGCAGTTAATAACAATGACCATCTTCCAGCCAACATTCAGCATTTTACAATCTCCTTATTCTGAATGGGATTTAAGCACGTTTTACTCTCTCACTGAAATCAATGCAACCTATGTGTGTTTTTGCAGCATCGTGGCCAATGGTGCAAGAGGGTACACTTGATGCATTGATACGGAGAAGACTGTGCTGGTGTGGTCGAATCCCTCTTCTCCAGCTTGTCTACACTTTTTGCTCGCAAAGTCAAAGTAAACCTTGGCATACTAATACTTGTTCTCACTAATTACTGGGTATGATCCAGCTATAGTTAAGCACACTTAAATTCTCACTGGTATTAGTCTAAGAATTAAACATATGCTTGAAACTTTCCTACTGCCTTTAATGCAACTTAACATTCTTAATAATGGAAGCATGCCCACAGACAGCACAGACAATGTAACTTCATCCAGTTCCATCCTGTTTGGTTTCGGTTTGTCATCCTTTGAAAATAACAAATTAATTCCAAGATGAGTCCAGGGAAATCAGAGTCTGCCCTCCAACATAGTAATGCTCATAAATGTAGGAAATTGTATTCCGGAATCAAATATTTTCCAGCTCAAATTATGAAACAAACTAAGAAAAGGCTCTATATCATTGACGAAGCCAGGTTGAATAACAGAGGTTTGGTCAGTGGGCTTCATCATTAGTAAGCCTTGCTACAATATTTCAAAAGTTTCCAAAGTGCAGGAACTTGTTCAAGTTATGGCCACCTCTGTGAAGAGACGGCTTGTTCTTCATCATCATCTTTTCTAGAAAAAAAAGCTTGCAAAAAAGACATCTGCTAGTTTTCATCTTGATCCAGTTCAAGGTCAACCTCTTCGGACAGGTTAAGATAAAAGAAAGCATAACATGCTACCAGAAATACCAATATAGCTCCAAGGATGAGGCTGACTTCCTGTAGCAATGATAAGATCAGGGTTGAAAGAAAAAAAGTTAGACAAGTCATCATTTCAGTTTAATTAAGAACAAATGACATTTTTCATTCATAAATACATTAACACTGTATGCAATTTACTCAACACATTGTAAATTATCATGGTAGGAAACTTACCCTGTAATTTACTCAAGCACAGTCTGATGACCCTCCTCATGCAAGGCCCCACAGCAATGAGCTACACAGTTTACTTAACCAATGTCAAAATACACTTTAAAAAACAATAACCGTGAACAAACACCCTGACCAAATAATGATATAATCTAAACTGAAGGCCACTTTTGGTTTGTTGGTTTGTTTTACCACATGAGCAAACCTAACCTTCCTCATGATCTTCAAATTTCTAAAGGGCTTTCACATGGAAGATGGAGCAAACTTGTTTTCTCCCGCTCTGGAGGCATCAAGCTACAAGAAAGGAGATTCCGACTAAACGTCAGGAATAACTTTCTGACAGCAAGAGTGGAACAAGTCTCCCTGCACTCGCCTTCCTTGGAGGTTTTTCAGCAGAAGTTGGATGACCATCTACAATTCTATGATTTGGTGGTTAACATGCTTTAACAGTAAGGGCTAAAGCAGATGTGATATTAATGCATTTCTTATGTTTAACACACACATCTTTATTAGTGTAAATAGCTATGGGGATGAAGAACAGCACGGGATTTTTGTAGGTGAGGAATTCAATCCCTTTCCCCCTGGCACAAATCTGATGACAATCCCCACCCCTCAAGCTACTGCTTTGGCCAACAACTTCTATTAAGGCCAACAGGACCAATCACTGGGGTGGGGCTGGGGCTTTTCACTGGAACCACAGCAGAAGCAAAGGCTTCATTTCTCTCTCTTCACCCACTGTGGTCCTAATCTTGTTCAAATCTCCCCCCCCTTTTTTTTTAAAAAACCTGCACATTTTTAAAAAAGTGCATTTAATGTCGCTTCTAGTCTGGTTATCAGAACTGAATCTGGTGACCATGAGGCTAAAGAAGAAAGATTACTGTATAACAGGCTTAGCAAGCTTTTTGCCCAGGACTCTGAAGAGGGACAGAATTCACAGAGTACTTTAAAGGTATCCAAGTGAATATGTGTGAACTTTGAAAGTTCCCTATCTTTTCTGGGAGCTGGGAAGCAACCTACCATACTGATTAAAAAAAAATGTTAAGGAAACCCCCCAGGCACTTGGAACTTATTCTGTAAAATGAGCTTTACAGCTCTCTAAATTATAGCCCGTGTCTCAAACTTACTGCAGGAAGAACGTGGGGCAGGTGGACAAAGACCAGGGCTCTTCCACCTTCTGAAAAGACTATTTAAAGCTAAGAGCCATTTCACCAGGCAGTTTCATCTAATGCTGGAAGGCTGTGACCTGACACAACGAGGACTGGCTCTAGGGTTGACATGCATAAATGAGGCCTTTGGGAGGGCGTCTTCCTCATTTGAACGGCATACATAATTAAGGCCTCTCACACACACATGTGTTTGCACATTGTGTAACTCGAGCCTACTTTATATCTTCGAGCTGGATTTAATGATTTTCACGTAGCATGCAAGTTCTCTCTCTGCAAGCACTTCTGAAAGTACTCGCGTCAGAGAGAAAGCAAAACAGTGTCATCCCGAGAAAGAGTTAACGTTCCTCTGTCAATTCTCTCCCCCATCGCAAACTCCTCTGGAACACACTTCATTTGCATTTACATGAATCCGCTTTATATTTTATCAGTATTTCATATCCATAATTCAGTATATGCCACCGCATACACTTTTCAAATATTATCGCTTCTTGGGGCGAAGATTTCTCAGTGGATTGTCATTCTGCAGGTAGCACAAATTTCCTTTTCCACACAAATAATGCGACTCACAGGTTTGAAACAACAACGACGCCATTTAAAAAACTGTTGGCGTGCTTTTGTTCCCAACCCATAATTATAAGGATCGTCAGGTTAGTCTAAACTTTGGGATCTTCTCTTGGTTTTATCTAACGGAATTTCACAGAAAAGACCTATGTATAATTTGTTTTCAGAAAGAGATGGGAATAAAAAAGAAAGCAAGAGATGGGGGACTGCAGGCACAAGTCTTCTCTATGTCAAAATGCAATGGTCATATAAGGCAGAATTCATTCATTTTCTTGTATCTACTACAGTGGTGCTCCTAGACCTATCTGGGCCCAGCAATACTGCTTAAGGGAGTCCTGGGCAAGATGACCTCAGGTGGTTCCCCACTCTCTGGGTCGTTCGTAGTCTTCTGATTTCTTCTATCATTGCTTGCTCTCCTCCTCAGCTTCTTCTTGCCTGCAATCTGATAATTAGGGGCAATAGAGAAGAGTCCCCTTCTCTTTACTTTGTCAAAAAAAAGGGGGATCTGCTATACTGCAGAAGGTTAGAGGGTTATCCAGAACACACTTAGTGAGGCGGGGCATGCAGGTCATTGCAGGAGGAACGAAGTTCTTGCCAAAAATGGCTTCCCTCATTTTTCTGCTGACAAATTCCCTTCTGGCAGCTGACAATCACCATTAGATGCTACCCTATGTAACAAGCACTGCTTGTTTTTAAGGGGAAAGTATGATAGAACTGTATGATAGAACTGTAAGGGACGTGGGTGGCGCTGTGGGTTAAACCACAGAGCCTAGGGCTTGCCGATCAGAAGGTTGGCGGTTTGAATCTCCGCAACGGGGTGAGCTCCCATTGCTCGGTCCCTGCTCCTGCCAACCTAGCAGTTCGAAAGCACGTCAAAGTGCAAGTAGATAAACAGGTACCGCTTCAGCGGGAAGGTAAACGGCGTTTCCGGGCGCTGCTCTGGTTCACCAGAAGCGGCTTAGTCATGCTGGCCACATGACCTGGAAGCTGTACGCTGGCTCCCTTGGCCAATAAAGCAAGATGAGCGCCGCAACCCCAGAGTCGGCCATGAATGGACCTAATGGTCGGGGGTCCCTTTACCTTTACCTTTATGATAGAACTGAAAAAATTCACAGTAAGGATAGTGACTCTTATAATTTTTTGTTGAGTAGCAGAAAATCGTTTCTGATTTTCAGCATAAGACAAGGAGTTTGCAGAGTAGCTGGATGAATCCTTTGCACCTGTCTTTGCAGATAGGGTAGATCCCTTTGCTCCAACTTTTATCGGAAGGAAGACCAAGGAGCTGAGGGAAATGGGAGTTAGAAGAGATGGCTGTGTTCTACCTTCGCTGCTGGAGGCAGTAAGCCTCTGAATACCAGTTTGCTTGGAATCAGAAGTGAGGAGGATGCTGCTGCACTCAGTTTCTGCTTGTGGGCTTCCCACAGACATCTGGACTTGACAGGCCATTGGCCTGATGCCTTCCTTTTAACAGGAAAACTATTTACGCACGGAGAGGTTTTAATAGACATAGGAAAGCACATAAATCCTGCAGTCTACCACAGTCATCCTGCTTCAGCAACACAGAGTCAAAAACACTGGATATTTATTGCCCACAAGTTACTGTGTTGACATTATCAACAAAAGATAAAAATCACTCATTGGGGAAATTAAAAAAGTATTAAATGGCAATGACTAAATGAAAGTTTGTTACTTTCAATCCAGCATAAAAATGATAGGCAATCAAAATGTGACAGGATAGACTAATTAGCATGCCAGTTTTGAAATTAAAAGTACCCTACTGGGGTTGGTTTAGAAAAGTTTAGGGCCCGTTTTGAAGTAAGGGGGGAACCATACATTTTTTTAAAAGAGCAAAGTTTGTGCAAAATGCATCCCTGGTGAAAACTCAACCTGTCTACCTGGGTAAATCATAGAAAAATAAGCAATAATCAAGATTATTATTATTTTAAGAATAATGTTTAATTAAATTGGTGTTTCTGAAACTCCATGAAATCAAAATGTCGTTCTAAGCTGAATTGATCTTTTGTAGCCACCAAATCTAAAAAACTTCGTATTAAGCTCCTAAATAATCTACCTTATTTTTAATATGTCCAGTTCCTACTGCTCCAACTTACTGCTGCCTCAAATGTGATGAATCTTCAGTATGGCTATTTCCTTCAGTATAGATAGGAAAATGAATGCAAATTGTGTATATGTTACTACAGCTTGCTTATAAATATAGCCCATGGAAATATTGTACTGGCATGCTGGCAGAGAATGCAAAACCCTGAAACTGGCATTTAGGTCGCAGGCATTCGATTTCACACCATTTTTCAGCCCAGACACGGAGGTCCAGCTCCGAGGACCTTCTGGCGGTTCCCTCCCTGCGAGAAGTGAGGTTACAGGGAACCAGGCAGAGGGCCTTCTCGGTAGTGGTGCCTGCCTTGTGGAACGCCCTCCCATCAGATGTCAAGGAAATAAACAACTATCTGACTTTTTGAAGACATCTGGAGGCAACCCTGTATCGGGAGATTTTTAATGTCTGATGTTTTACAATTTTTTATGTGGTGTAAGCCGCTCAGAGTGGCTGGGGAAACCCAGCCAGATGGACTGGGTATAAACAATTATTATTATTATTATTATTATTATTATTATTATTATTATTATTATGATACCTTGATACCTCGGGTTACATAAGCTTCAGGTTACAGACTCGCTAACCCAGAAATATTACCTCGGGTTAAGAACTTTGCTTCAGGATGAGAACAGAAATTGTGCAACGGCAGTGTAGCGGCAACAGGAGGCCCCATTAGCTAAAGTGGTGCTTCTGGTTAAGAACAGTTTCAGGTTAAGAACAGTCCTCCAGAACAAATTAAGTTCTTAACCCGAGGTACCACTGTATTTAGGTGCAAGGATACCCAGGTCCTTGCACAGGTTGTATGAGCTAACGTGCATTGTGGGAGTTGAATTTAAGATACAAGGGACTGCTGAATTTAGAGACTGTTTGGATTAACCCATTGGCTAGACTTTCATATCACAGCAAATTCGTTCAAATGCAACATTCCCAGTCTCCCAAAGCGAAGTTTCAAGAACCAAGAACATGCTACAGGCTTACATCCGCCCTCCTTCTACTTCCTCCTCTTTTCAGTTACTCATATCCAGTTATTTCCTCTTTAACACAAACCATACTTTGCTACAATATCCAAACTAGTAAGCTGTTTTTCCTTCCTTATACTCCAAAGAGCTAAAACATAACCAAGCCATGCTTTGCAATGCTGGTTTAGAGGGCAAGTATAAACCATTATTTTCCAGGTTTTGATGTCAAGGTAACTTATAGGTAAAGGTAAAGAACCTGTGGGCGGTTAAGTCCACTCAAAGGTGACTATGGGTTGCAGCACTCAGCTCGCTTTTCAGGCCCAGGGAGCCAGCGTTCATCTGTAGACAGTTTTCCGGGTCTTGTGGCCAGCATGACTGAACCGCTTCTGGTGCAACGGGACACCGTGACTTAAGCCAGAGTGCACGGAAACACCGTTTACCTTCCCACCACAGTGGTACCTATTTCTCTACTTGCACTGGTATGCTTTCAAACTGCTAGGTTGGCAGAAGGTAACTTATATTTTGCTCTCATCTGGACACAACTAACTGAACCTGAGGACATGAGGGCAGGGAGACATAAGGAAATGGCTTGCTCATGCAACACTAAACAATGGTTTGACTTTACATCAATACTTCAGGAAGCTTGCTTCTCATTCAGTTGCCAACCAAGTTGTACAATCAAGTGTCCAGAAATCGTGTGAGGAGTGTGCATATGTGACTCAAACCTATGCTTCAACACTGAAAACACAACACTGAAGTATAATTCTGCTTCTGGAAGATTTCCTTTTACTCTCAATTTGCATAGCACTTTTCACATGCCACACGCTGCACAATCTTTATCTTCTTTAACTACCATCATCCAGCCAGGGTAAGGCACACCTATTTTACAGATGGCAACTGAAGCTGAAAAATAGTTCTTTCCCAGCAGCTCTGCTGGGAATTCTTTATATGTTTTTTAACGTTATATTTGCTATTGTTCTGCTTTGTAATTATGAAATTGCTACTATGCTATTGTTTGGCTATGTTAGTATGAAACTGTTACTATGTTACTTGGCTGTGTTATTATGAAATTGTTTTTGTAGCGTTTGAAATGTGTTCCTGTGTTGTTGCTGTTGTTTTGTAAACCACTTTGAGCATGATTTTTTTGTGTGGAAAAGCGCTATACAAATCTAAAGAATGAACAAATGAATTCAAGCCTCCAATGTATGCATTGGTTCAGGCTATCCTCAACCCTATGCTGTGAGGCCACTTGTCCGGATAGCTCAGTTGGTGGATCATGAGACTCTTAATCTCAGGGTTCTGGGTTCAAGCCCCATATTCGACAAAAGATTTCTGCATTGCAGGGGGTTGAACTAGGTGACCCTTGTGGCCCCTTCTACGATGTAAAATTAAATCAGAAAGGTAAAATTAAATCAGAAAGGGACAGAGAAAATTGCATAACGTGATAGGTTAATAATCTGCCTTTTAAGCAAACAACAAAAATGGCAATCTATTTTTTCCCCATTAAAACCTGACACACTGCACTAACTGAGGAGACGATGTTGTGAAAGCAGACCACATTGCGTGGCAATGCTTGATCGAGATCAGCTATCAGAGAGCGAAAAGAAACCACTGTTTCGTGATTATAATAGCAAATTTTGGAAGACAACCAAATACATCATCTGGCGGCTCAACAGCTGTTACAGCATGGTAGTAATACCTTGCCATTTGCTGTAAGCTATAACTTGGGGAGGGGGGAATTGATTTCTCATCTGCCAGAAACAAGGAAATGTACTTCTTTGAACATTACTGACATTCTTCTCATTAGGAATAGCTCATTTTTGCATCTATTTTTCCTGATCTGCATCCTTCCCTCAGCATGGGTTGCTAAGCTGATTTTATGTTAATTTATTTTGAACCAAAAATAAACCGAGAGGAAAGTATTGGAAGCAATTTAAACAAACTACATATGTTTAGCCAAACTCTACGACAGGGTCATGTGTGGGTGTGAAAATATTATAAATATCCTTCATATTATTATTTATTACCTTCACTTGTTCTCCTTCCTTTCTTTAAGCTTTAAAAACAGAAGTTCCAAAATAATTTTGAGTCCACCAGCTTCCTTGCTGGGTCATAAGAGAAGGCAATCGTTTTCCATGCTGGACAGAAAGATGAAAACTGTAGGCTGGATATCAGTTATACAGTGGTACCTCGGGTTGCATACGCTTCAGGTTACACACATTTCAGGTTACAGACTCCGCTAACCCAGAAATATTACCTTGGGCTAAGAACTTTGCTTCAGGATGAGAACAGAAATTGTGCTCTGGCAGCGCAGCAGCAGCAGGAGGCCCCATTAGCTAAAGTGGTGCTTCAGGTTAAGAACGGACCTCCAGAACGAATTAAGTACTTAACCCGAGGTACCACTGTATGTATTTATGACAAAACTGTAACCGTTTACAGTAACATCTAGACAAAAAATTCCATCATGGTCAACAGTCGGGGTTCTCTCTCTCTCTCTCTCTCTCTCTGTGTGTGTGTGTGTGTGTGTGTGTAGGTAACAGTACTTGCCATACATGCTGGCTCCAGGGGGCTAAGGCACTATTGACCCCCTCTATGGTTTTTTTGAGGGGGATAGTCCCTCCCATTGTAAACACTGGACACAGAGGGACATTAGGACATCACGCAATGTAGCTCATGTGGCGTCAGTACATTGTGCAACATCACACACGCGAGGTCAGAACGCTGCATCAGGGTCCCTCAATGTGGTTCAGAAGATGGAGCTTCTGGTACTCACTAGTTAGGAGTTCTGGCACCACATATTTTGCTGCCTTGCAGAAGCCATTTTGTGCTGACCCCCACTTTTATCAAAGCATGGGTACCAGTACATTGTGGGGTTTTTAACCAAAGAAAGCACTGATGTGCAATAATAATGAGGGCTACAATCCTACGCACGGTTCTTTGGGATTATGGCCTGCTGGGACTTACTGTTGAATAGATATGAGCCAAACTGGGATAGCTCATTTGGTAGAGCATGAGAGTCTTCACCTCAGGGTCGTGGGTTTGAGCCCCACATTGTGCAAAAGATTCCTACATTGCAGGGGGTTGGGACTAGATGATCCTCATGGTCCCTTCCAGTTAAGTGTATTATTCTATGCTGTAAAACATTCACTGTCTGCCTATGGGAGTTGTTTTAAAAATTATTCCATGACACACAGTAGTTGACAAGAAGCTTTAAAAAAAATAAAATGCTGCCTATCAAAATTACTTTGCAGCTTTATTCTATGCACCCTGCATAGACAAGGCAAGGATGGCATCACTGAAGAAGGGGATTTTTGTAGCAGACCCTAAGTAGCATCTTCACTGCACAGATTTCACTGTATGCTGAAGAGAGACCTCTTTGCCCTGGCCTTTGACAGTGAAGGTATTTTGTTTGGTGGGACCCACCTCTTTTGTTGAATTTATACCCATCTGTTGCCTTTGGAATGGCTTTCCATGTTTTATAATTGGAATGGTTTTACAATTGCATATTTCATCGTTGCAACTCGCCCTGGGACTTTATGGTGGCGTAGGGGCAAGAGATCTTAAAAATAGGTAAACTGAAGCTTAATTCATAAATAACAAAATGGGACTGATTCCTAAGCAGAGCTGTGTCAGATTGCAGCCTCCGAGTTTCAGTTATTCCAGCTTGGCTGTAGGTTAACGCAAAAGAAATCAGTCATGAATATTTTAGATCCTGGCATTCCACTTAGGGTTTTGAAGTGTCATAAACAATATCTTTCAAAGATCAATATTCACACAGGACATCTATGGGGAAAAGAAACTCAACATCTCTAGGATGTTGGTGTAAGCTATCAGTTAGATATACCTTCATGCCTGGCGCAGTTTTCTTGGCCTCTGCTTTTAATCTTGTTGCTTTTAACATTGGCCTGGTTTTCTTGTAATCTTGTTTTCCTATTGACGGGGGGAGAGAGAAAAAACAGTTACTGAAAACACTCCATGGTAAATGAGGGACAATTATTTTAATGTCTGCAGCATATCCAAATTTTCCTTTACAAAGCACAAAAAGACCACTGTATGTTAGAGCTACTTGCAGAGTGACAAACTTTGAAATGTTTGCTCTAATAGGGAATACATATGACAGTATAATTTGAGCAATTTATTATTTACAAATGGGCAGCCTAAAAGACTGATGCTACGCCACATCATGCCACATCCAATGTAGAAAATTAAAAAGGGAAAGCCCATGATGAGAAAAGTTTGACGCAATTGAGAACAATTGTGCATAGTATTTGCATGGGTTGTGGGGTTAATTAGGCATAAGATAAAACTCTTACTTTTTCCGAGACAATTTTCAAGAGTTCGTAACCACTCCGCTTGTAAATTGGAAGGTTATTAGGCCTACACCCAAATTCAGTTCTAGAAAAAATAAAAAGCACTTCCTGCCTAGTAATAACAGGTTTTGACCATGTTGAAATTGTTTTCACAGTATCCCTTTTCATGCCTCATGTCACAAGACTGCATTATGGCGGCTGGCTGGCCGATCAGTGTTAGATTAGCTGAAAGCTATACTTTGCAGCCTTGTAGTCATTAAGGGCTCTGATCTTAAGCAAATGCATTCAGGACTACTGCTAGGCCAATGCTTGAGAGGTTTGGTTTCTGCTGCTAAAGTTACTGTTTCAGGAAGGGTGGGGGGGAACTTACCTTCCATACTTACGCACATTTTTACTGCCTTTTTAGTTTTCCTACTCTGCTGTGGCCTGAGTGCCAAAACAGACCAACCAACCTCAAAATGGCTTTTTCACTCTTGTGGGCAGATCCACACCTTAGATTTAAAGCACATGACTACCCCAAAGAATCCTGGGAACTTAGGGACCAACTAAGTTTGTTCTTGGTATGAGCTTTCATGTGCATGCACACTTCTTCAAATACACTGAAACAGTGTATCTGAAGAAGTGTGCATGCACACAAAAGTTCATACCAAGAACAAACTTAGTTGGTCTCTAAGGTGCTATTGGACAATTTTTTAAATTTTATTTATATATTTCTACTGCGTTAGACCAACACGGCTACCTACCTGAATCTAGAATCCTGGGAACTGTAAGGGTGCTGATAATTATAGCTCTATGAAGGGGAAACTACACTTCCCAGCTTTCTTTGCTGGAGGGGGGAGCAGCCATGTATGGTGTGACCATCAGGGAGCATGTGGTGAACATTATAAAGCCATGTAGCCATATAGCTAATTAGACATGGCTATAGGATGATGTCACTGAGGGCAAATGAAGCCCCACCACCATTTTCGGTGAGAGGGCAAAGAAGGAACTTATCCTCTTTGCCCAACCGAGACAACTGAGTTGACGCTCCTTGCCTTGCCCTCCAGTTGTACATGCTTACAGATGACTTGGGGCAGAATGCGGATGAATCTACAAAAGATGTACGCCACACCCCAATCCCAGTGTGCTTTCAGGGAAATGCCTGGATGATGCTTTGGTCTCCCAGTTGCACTGTGCTCCTACTCTTCCTGCGCAAGAGCTTTCTTGTCCTACAACTGTGTCCAACATATGGTTGCTTCGGCAGGGGATGGGGAGGAGATGGGACAATGCATAGGTGAACTATGGAACTTCCGCAGGAGGTCACCAACTTGGATGGCCATAAAAGAGGGCTGGACAACTTCAATACCGGCTGCTGGAAACCACAGGAGGGGAGAGTGCTCTTGCGCTTGGATCTCGCTTGAGGGTTCGCCACAGGCATCTGGTTGGCCACTGTGAGAACAGGATGCTGGACTAGATGGGCCATTGAGTGAATCCAGCAGACTCCTCTTATGTCCTTATGACACTGGGAGCAGGAATAAAACCATGGCCTCACCCCTCGCTGCACAAACACATGCTCTACATGTGAGTAACAAATAAACAGGGCTTATGTTTTCTCTCTGGTCATGGGAGGTGCAAGTTGTTATTGTTGTTGTTTTTAAGTGACTCCCAGTCCTTCCAAAAAAAATAATAATCTATGATTAGGGGAAACATTTTCCTTACTGAGAAGACTCAAGATGGATTTCTCTGGTGATCTGTACTATACCAGAGGAGCGGTGGAGATTTTAAAGTCTAATGCATGGGGAAAATTGTTCTTTTCTCAGAGGAAAGTATGGTCATCGTGGAATAAGGGGGAAAGAGTTTACATGACTAGAGCTCCCCGCCAGTCATTATGATATTATCATGTGCTATGCAACAGTAAAGGACCTGTCAGAATTTCCATTATGAATTGACTGAGTTTATATGCTCGTAAAAATTCACTCCAGGGTGAAACTTGGCTTAAAAATATATCTGAACCTGTAATACTGTTTGGAGCCAATTTCAACTAAGACATGCAGCTGCTAAAAACTTTTACTTGCGAACAAACTGCAGACATTTATTCACATGGGGCTTTGAACACAGATTTATAAGACTTTAAGAAGAAAACAAGGGGAAAATAATTGTTTCACTTCAAGATCTCAGAAAGTCTGAAATATACCCTCATGTCTACACTGAAAATGAAAGGTGGGACAACTAAGACATTTACATCACAGAGACCTGCTGTTTCTAGAGATCAGCCAAAATTAGATAGGTGCAGCTTTGGGAAAGGTGTAGATGAGCTATCCTATGTGCTTGGCATTTCCTCAGAGTAAATTTGAGTACAACCTTACTGTAGATATTCTGGAAGTACAGCGGTGCAAGATGCAATGGGTGAAAAGCAGAAGAGCTCAAGTATATAGATGATATAGATGTTGATAAAATGTTAGAAGGGGATTCGTTCATCTTCCCTTTCCCCTGGGTTTAGGATCTAATTTATCTTGTGGATTTTATGGACAATGAACTAATATACATAACCAACAATTCACTCTGGCTTTAGACCAATGTGCGCTACAACTAGCTAGATGGTGAAGTGACCACCTGATTGTCCTGTCTTGGAAACCATATCTAATTTTATGCCTAGGTTACCTGAATAACTTTTACCATTCACTTCATCTGGCTTTGCCATGCAGCCAACTACAAAGTGCAGTGGATGGGCAGAGCCAATTTTGGCTTTGACCAGTTTTGGGAATGGACCGAGCATCCCCCTTGCCCACTAAGCATAAACATGGAGAGCCAGGCATCCTTGCCGTCTCAATGAGCCACTTGTCTTTGAGGCAAATGTGTGGTGCAGAGCAATTGTATGCAGGTACCATTTCCACAAGGGACGCGGGTGGCACTGTGGGTTAAACCACAGAGCCTAGGACTTGCCAATCAGAAGGTCGCCGGTTTGAATCCCCACGACAGGGTGAGCTCCTGTTGTTCGGTCCCTGCTCCTGCCAACCTAGCAGTTCAAAAGCATGTCAAAGTGCAAGTAGATAAATAGGTACCGCTCCGGCGGAAAGGTAAACGGCATTTCCGTGCGCTGCTCTGGTTCGCCAGAAGCGGCTTAGTCATGCTGGCCACATGACCCGGTAGATGTACACCGGCTGCCTCGGCCAATAAAGCGAGATAAGTGGCGCAACCCCAGAGTCGGCCACGACTGGACCTAATGGTCAGGTGTCCCTTTACCTTTACCTTACCATTTCTGCAACCATGTAAACTCCACCAAACCCATGGCTGTAAGTGCAGTTAAAGTGGAGTGGCATGTGACCTGTGTCATAGTAAAGATGACATAGATTAAGTGCACATCAGAGTGCATCAAAGGTAGAGGCAATAATGGATTATTAATATTTTTGCATCATTATGCCATAAGAATAACTAGTTATTTCTCAACAAAGAAAGTTTATCGATCCTCTTCAAGATTATATTCTAGCAACTACCCATTCCAGAGGAGAACCATGAGCAGAAATAGGACTGCGTCTGAGAAAGTGGCTTTAAGATTTCAAATGAATTGAATTCAATGATCTATATGACTGTTTCCCTAAAACTTACCTCGGTGCAAGTTAACAGTGACAATATTTGCAGGCTGAAATTGAAGTCGATATTAACAACTGAAACTCTCTTTATTGCAAACAATCTATTTTAATAATGACTCTACAGCTGGTAAGTCTCCAAAACAAAGCATCTGTGATTAATTTACCACTCTCCTTGCTAAATGCTATAGCCAGAAGAGAAAGTACATACCAGAGAATACAAGTCTGAATCAACTGTGTGTAAAAATTTACAAAGGACATCTGTTAAGTCCTTGGTAATGAAAACCACATTTTAGTATTGGACTTTTTAAAAACACCTCTTTAAACAGCTGAACTCCTCTCCCCCCCAAAAAATCCCAAGGTAACCACCTGTACTGCAAAAATGGCATATGCGCCCCAGAAGTTGCCACCTGAAATATCTAGTTTATATAAGCAATGCAAACACCTTTGACTGTTGCTAGCTGGAATGTAAATTCACGTTAATTTAAACTAGCATCAATTAAAGTGGAGGATATTTTCAGAGCGTAAGGTGGCGTGAAAGGGGTGCTGGTTGCTGTTCGTGGTACATATGTATACTTATCCCTGTTTTGCAGTGAGACCTGTTGGTGCATATGGCGCAACCACCCCGCTTTGAGTGGGACACCCCGGATTTACAGAATCTTTAAGTTTACTATGAACACTTTCCTCCCTAACAGATTTCCCACATCTCGCGGGGCTGCGAAGACTGCGTTCCTCTCTTCTTCGCATCCAAAGATGGACCAATGCCAGGGATTTAACCTGGAAACTTCTGCATGCACTTTTATGTCCTGCGTGGGACTTTAACTCTCATCAGTATCATCTGGCATGGTTAAGTGTCACAGATGATGGTAGCTGGAGCCTAAAACAACCAGAGGGCTCCAGGTTATGGAAGACTGCTTGAGAATATCTCAGAATGACCATCAGTAGAACGTGAGACTCTTAATCTCAGGGTTGTGCGTTCGAGCCCCACGTTGGGCAAAAGATTCCTGCATTGCAAGGGGTTGGGCTAGATGACCCTTGTGGTCTCCTCCAGCTC